TCCCACTCCACCATTTATTCTCTGTGTTGGCCTGAGCACGTCTCTGAACCTCCCTGAGCCTCCCTTCTCTCATTTGGGAAATGGGGATGGTAATACACAGTGTCCAGGGTCACTACCCAGATCGGTCACCCAGGAGGTAAGTGGGATGCAACAGGCCCTGAGTCTGGGGTGGCTCTGTGGTCATCACAGCCTTCATCACCACCGTCGTCATCAGTCTGCTGGGTAGGAAAACTCTGTAAACTAAGGAACCCCGAAGTCAGCGATTCTAAGCATGAGGACTCCAGGGAGGCATGTCAGCACTAAAAGTATGGGAGGTGACTGTGAAGGCTGACCATATGTTCAATAAAATAATGCGAAACTATGGTTGCCAAAGGGGAAAGGGGAAGGGAGGAGGGATAAACTAGGAGTTTGGGACTAACAGATACACACTGCTGTATATAAGACAGACTAACGACAAGGTCCAACTGTATAGGACAGGGAATTGTATTCAGTATCTTGCAATCAGCTGCAGTGGAAATGAGTCTGAAATACGTGTGTGTGTGTGTGTGTGTGTGTGTGTGTATCTATATATAAATGAACTGCTTTTCTGTACACCTGAAAGTAACATTGTAAATCAGTTACACTTCAATAAAAATAAAAATAAAATAATATCATTAAATAGTTGGAAGGTGAAAAATAAGACTACTGCTTTCATCACAGAGACCAAGTGGAATGAGATTCAAGGTTCCTCTCGAGAAAGCAGCTCCCCGGGCAACCTGCCGACTGCAGCGTGAGTCAGGGGAAGGGAAGGGAAGCTTTTCACTTTCAAAGGAGGTCACGCATCTCTGATCAGTGCTTAAAAAGACCTAAAGCCCGTGTATATAGGCTGAGAATGAATTTTTAAAAGCCTCACAGACAACGATCTCACACGTGCAAAATGTTAATTTCTTAAAATTCTCTGATAACTGGCTTTACTTTTTAATACCATGGCTCCATTCTAACTGACATAGAAAATGAATCTCAGAATGTTCAGGTAAACCAGTTAAATTCGGCAATGTCGACGGGCTCCCCTGGAAGTCCTATAGTATCATTTCAGGTTGATAAGACAATCGTATTGAAGCTATTTCTCCCATGCCCTTCCCTTCTTCTGGGGGTTGGTGTTAAGCCTTCCGGGGGGGGCGGGGGGAGCAGCGTGCACACAAAGGTAGCTGCAGCATCATTGGCAAGAAGTAGGCACCCACTTCATCCGCTTCTAGACTTGGGTGCATCTTGATCTCACACTCCTGCACCAGAATAATCATTTCTCTTCTGATTCTTGGTGCACCTGCTCCACCCTGGAAGTCCCTTGAGATGCAGCTGAATCCTCCTTCAGTCCCCGGGCCATTTCCCCTCCTTAGAGCTTTGAGGATTCTCGTCTCCCGCCACCCTCAAGTCTCTCCTTCTCTTTCTTAATTTCTTGTTTCCACTTGTGGGAGTGGGGCCTGGGAACGTTCAGTTGCCTTCCTTGTAGAATTTTTACCAGATTTAGCAAATAAAAATACAGGACTCCCAGTTATATTTGAATTTCAGGTAAACAACAAGTACTTTTTTTAGCATAAGTATGCCGGAAATCTTTCTTGGGACATAGTTATGCTAAAAATTATGTGTGTGTGTGTTTTTGAATTTCAAGTGTAACTGGGAATCCTGCGTTTTATCTGGCAACCCGACCTCCCGGGCTGGGGCAAAGCCACAGGAATCTTGGGGCACTGACTTGGGCTCTCCCCAGTGTAGGCGGACCCGGCTCCCCTCTGACATTAAGGCTGCTGCCCGGGAAAACCAAGAGACTTCCCCACGATGCTTCACAGCTAGCAGCCCACTGTTGTGTCAGATGTGAAGGCTCACCCACCTCCTTGGAGTCTCTCTCCAAGAAACCTTTCCTAGGAACCTTTCCTTCAAGAGGAGTCCCTGGTCTTGGCACAAGCTTCTAGCATTTCATTAACTTTCCAGAAGGAGTTTCCGTTTCCGTAAGGATGCCACCGTTGTGACGTTCTGGGAGCTCACTTCAAACCGGGGAATGGAGACGGCAGGAAGGTTGGATTTACACGGACGTGATTCAGCCATTTTCACATTTGACACCGTGCGTAAGTTTTGCTCAAAGTCCTCTTTCCCTCCCACACTGAGACCAGGCGGGATTTCCGCCAGACTTTCCCTGAAGCAGTGGGAGTGGCTGGCGAGTTGGCTTTTTATGCACGAACTTGGTTCTCATAGTGCAAATCCAGTCGCTGTGTCCTTCCGACCCCCACACAGAGCCCAACACCTACAACACAGCGAGCGCCCAATGCGTGTGTGGGGGACCACGGAGAGGTCACCGGCGGGACTAGGGCGCATCGGCATGAAGCCCCGATGAGCAGATCTAACCAACGCTTTCACAGTTCTCAGCACAAAGGAAGAGCCGAGGTATCCTGAGTTCATCACGTTGCAGCAGTAAAGTTTCATAATTAAAAAAAAAAAGAATAAGCATTTTAAGAAATAGGAAAATGCAAAGAAATTAAAAACAACCCTAATCTTATTGGCAATGAAGTGACAGGGAAATCTCAGTGATAGATGCTTTCCAGTAAAGAGGGAAGAGGTACTACCAAAAAATGTTTAGACAGGTGAGAAAAGCTAGAAAATATAAAATCCGTAAAGATGAAGAATGTGAAAAATAATTAAAATTGCTATAAATTTGAATAAACCTAGAATTAGTAGCATGGTGGAGGCAGTTTTTCTCAGTAATAAACCATTCTCTGGAAGTTAAAAAAAAAGCTGATCTCACAACCTAGAGATGAATATTATTAACATCTGTGTGTTTATACGTTATATGTAATTCTCTGCAGAATTGAGATGTTCCTACATTCTTATTTCACATTGCATCTCTAAATTATTGTGTTTGTAAAAGGAGGGTTCTAGGTGACCAGAGGCTACCATCCCAGCTCTATTGGAGTATGTTTTTAGCTGAAATCCCCTCCTACCGCAAATTCCACACGTGAAAAAGGCACTGAGAGTTGATGTGAAGGCCCCACGCCCTCCCCAGATGCAAGAGGACAAAGGTTGACCCCAAACTCAGGTGCTGCTTCTGAGGACCTGGGACAGTGCCCCCCACCAAGGGCTGTCCAGCACTGTCTCCCTCTTTATAACAGCTGTGTGTGGCCGGCTTAAATGAGCCTTCCCTTATTTTATTCGTGAATCTTTGTTCCCTCTACCCTCAGTGAAATTCAGATCTTTGAAATCACAATATTTTGTTTCTTTGGTAGTGAATTTCCTCCTCTTCCCACCACACATGGAGCAGGCACCTTGCTGACCACCTGAAGCTCACACGTCTGCAGATCTCAGGTCCTGATCCCTGAGGGCTGGAATGTCAAAAACCCTAATTAAAGTCTTCCTTTGTTATTGGCATTTTGCCCTAAGTCTACCCAGGGACAAAGGACAAAGGCAGAGGCTGCCTCCTCTTTGAAGGGTCCCTGTATTTATACAGAGAACTGGAGAAGAGACAGAGAAGGGGAGGTGGCAAAAGGGAGAATAACCTTTTCCTCTGATTCCCGGCTCCGGACACCTGCTCACACCCAGCATCCTTGGGGGTCAGGGGAGTGGAAAACGGAGTGTTTGTGGCCAGCAGGGGGGGTCTTCACTGAATTCTGAGCTGGGAGAGGACCACGAAGCTGGTCCCTGTGGGTGGTTTTTATTTCTTTAATTAGGTGTGCTCTGATTTAGGGGGTAGAACCGGGATCCAGAGCATCAGCTCCTGCATCCCGTGGGGCTACCCTCCGCTTCTGTCTCCTCGGCCCTCCCCCGGGCACCTGGGCCTCCATATCTTGGCAAATGGACACTCTCTGGGCAAGAGCTCAGCCCTGCTAAATGTTTAAAAATCTAACCAGCCCTCTTTCTTACTAGTATCTCTAAAAGTTCATAGAGGTGACCTTCTACCTTATTAATTGAGAATCTGGCTGCATTTTGACAAATCCAAATAACTCTGTGTTTTATCATTTCACATACTCTTTCTACCCTGATACACAACATCCTGTCCAGCACCCCTGAACCAGGTAGAGTCATCACAACGAGGTGCAGGTTAAAGAAAAGGATGGACACTTTCAGCTCACTGAGAATTTTCCCCCGAAACCCCTTCCACCGCACTGCCTCCCACCAGGCTCTCCCCCCAAAACTTTATTTCATTCAGACGTGACCCAGGACATACGGTTTCCCCTTGGGCTGCTCCATCAGTCAGCTATGAAGGGCTGGACAGACGTGAGCCCTGAACTCTGGGATGACTAATCCTTCCTCTGTCCTGGATGCTAAGCAAATGAACAGACCTTCTAAGAGTGTTTTAAAAAAAATTAAAAGATTGCCTTAAAATAGGCCCCCACCTGCGAAAGCACTCAACTTGCTGTGGAAAAGTGGGCGGGGTGGGTTCCCACCCTGCAGAAGTGGGAGGAAATTTTCTCTGAGTATTCTGTCCACAGGATGCCACCCTGCATGGCCTTGAGTTAATTAAGTAGAGCACCTGATGGATAAATAGTCCCCAAATAGCCTTGCTTAAACGTTAATGGGTCTTTAATATTCTTAACATCGAGACATCGCAAAATAAGAACTTTCCTTGTGAAGGGAAAGAGCTATGGGGAGACGTTATAAGAAAGAAGCAGCATCCTGGAGGCAGAGAGAGCTCCCAGGGAAAATGCGTTCCAGATGCCCATCCAGGTGCAGTCTTAGGCAGTCCAGCAGGCGCCTGCTTCCGCCATCCTCTGTGCTCTCGGCTGTGCGCTCCCTTTTGCTGGCCCCAGGCTCCCTCTCTGCCAGGTGGACGGCTGTGTTCATTTTACCCCATTCCCCCTTTCCACGTTCCTCCTTGGGGGGCCCTTGGTGGAACATGTATTCAGAGACTTCTTACGAGCTTCCATGCCTCTCATTGGGACAGGAGAGTTATTGATGCCAGGAGCTTTTATTTGCCACTGTAGCATTTGCAGAGATTCATAGAAGAGACCAGCAAAAAACACCAACAGAGAAAATCATAAATGGAAACACATGGGTGTATTTGAGAACAAGTGTTCAGATGTATAGTCATAGCCCTCTTTGCCGCCCCATTCACACACACAGAATCACACACCTCTGTAAATGCGTACATAGGCACTAGTGAAGAGACAGAGAGGTGTGTAGGGGAACTGTTTACACAGCCAAGCTAGAAATCACACAGACCCACACTCATTCTTGGATTTTCTCAGTCATCATCTTGCCCTGCAAGGTGAGGGATCAAGCCAGCCTTGACTTCTTCTATGCTCCCAGCCAGGCTGCCAGCCCGCTCCTCACCAGAGGCCACGACTGCTAGTGGGGGAAGACAAGGATCCAAATGTACATTTATTGAAAATCGTTGTGCCAGTGTGGGGACAATGGAGTAAGACAGGTCCTCCTGTGAGGGGCTCAGGTCTAGCTGAGGAAGGAGGCAGACACGCAGTAACAACTCCACCTGAGAAAGGCCGTAACAACAGTAGGTTCAGGAAGGTGGGTCTGTTTTCATCCTCCTGACCTCTGGAAAGAAGGAAAGTCTCCTCCTCCCCTCGTAGGATGAAACACCAGCCCAGGGGAGCCTGCTCAGCTCGGTGGGCTGCGAGTAGGGCCGTCTTCCACCGACCTCTCTGCTGGTTTCAGTCCTCGGTCCCACCCCTTAAGCCAGCTTCTCCCTCTTGCCCCTCAGATATGTCTGGTGGTAGAAGTCGAGGAAAAGGGTGATGAGGCTGGGGGTGTAGAGGAGGACAGTCATGTTGAACCCATCGGGGAAGGGGCACAAGGCAAAGAGACTGTAGGAGGAGTGGACAGCAATGGCCACGAGCTGACCCTGGGGAGAGGAAGGAGGAGAAGAAGGAGAAGAGGGGAGAGGTGATTAGCGGTGCTGAGGGACAGGACGGATGCCCCTCGTACCTTCTTACTATTCCCTCTGTTCACCAGTGGGAGCGGGCCTCCCACGGCTAAGGAAGAGGAAGGACTAGGAAACCGGATGAAACCCACCCCCAGGCTTTCCTGCCCATGACCCTAAGATCCTTCCGACCCCTCTCCCTACTGGTCCCCTATTTTCCCCAATCCAGCCATGTCGTATTGACACTAATGATGATCTCAGTCCATCCCGAGCCCCAGGAGGGACAGCTCAGGCTGTCACCACCACCTGGCAATGGTGCTCCACAAACCACGGGGCCCCCCGGCCCCCAGGGGGTGGGTCAGTGACCACAGATTTGCAGGGCATTAGCTCTCTGAGGTCACCTAGTCCAGTCCCCTCATTTCACTGAGGACAAGACCAAGGCCTGAGGCATGGATGTCACCCGCTGCAGGCCCCACATCACATCAGTGAGTTCGGGTCAGCCCCAGGATCTGGGGAGACGGTTACTGAGAGACTCAGGAAGACCCAGCAGTGAGAAGGCAGGGCTCACGGTCAGATAACAAGTCCCCGGTGCAGCCGAGAACAGGAGCTGGGGCCGCCCAGGAGCCAGGGGGTCATCTCACCAGCTGCAGGGCGGCGAGAAGTCACTTCCACCACAGGCAGGGCCACAGGCAGGACCCCAGGCTGGCCAGGCCCCAGTACAGGTACATGAAGACATGGACCAGAGAATTCAGCACCCCGATGAAGAAGGCTGCAGAGCAGGGCAGGGAGATGGAGGGGAGGAAGCGGAGCTGGGCCTGGCTGTGCTCTGGGCTTTCTCTTCCGTGTTTCATTCCTCCAAGCTGCAGGTGCCCTCTGCCCACCCCACGGAGAAGAGTCTTGGGACCTTGGGAAGGTCCTATCATGAGACAGTCCAGCAGGAGCTATCTGAGGTCCCCATGGTGGGTTGGGGTTAAGAGAATGGCTGATGAGGGTGCTTGCAACGCTCTCTGCCCTCTCTGGGCTGCCAGTCTGAGCATCTCCCAGCAGCCTCCTCCCCTCCACCGGGGAGCAGTGGCTAGGATGCTCTGAGGAGCAACAGAGAGAACATGGGAACAGAAGCCAGGAGTCACGGCCACAGGGAAAGGGAATCTGAGAGCCAAACATGCTACTGCCGGGCTGCCCGCCTCCCGAGTCCTGGGGCAGGGCTGCCCAAGCGCCTCACTCACCGTGACCCCCCAGCACATATTTGACTGCAGCCCACCGGTTGAAGAGCATGGTGCCATGGCTGTAGACATGCAGGAAGGTGACCTACTCTGGCTTCTTTTGTAAAATAAAGAAGACCTGGGGAGGAAAAAAGGAGTGCCACGTCTGAGTCTTATTCCTCCAGACGCTTCTCCTGCAGCCTCAACAACCAAGGATAGGGTGATGCGTCCTGTTTTGCTGACAGGGAGGCTGACAGCCAAGGAAAGCAACACCATGCAGATGCCCGTGCAGCACCTGCTGTGTGCCGGGTAGCTTGTGTGTATAAAAAATCATACAAACACAATGGCGTGTGGTTTATACTCATCTCCATTTTACAGATGGCAAAACCGAGGCACAGAGCTCAAGTAACTCGTTCAGGGTGATACCCCTAATGTGAAGCCAAGCTGGGATTTGAACACAGCCCAGCTTCAGAGACTGGGATCCTTCCAATATTACTGCCCCCCCACCTCAGGCACTGGGGAGAGAACTCAGGGGTTGAACCCCAGCCCAGGGCCCAGACAACCATAAAAAAATTCCCAAAGTTTCTCTGTTTAGACTCCATTTTGGCAAGAGATTGATATGAAAGAAGCTTCTACCTTCACCACTATTCCAAAATCTTGACCTTGCCCCGCCCCACACAATCCCGCAAGCCTTCTAGATCCACGAGCAGGGCCTCTTCTCATCGCACTTAAAGATGGCCTTTGCCACCTAATCTCAGGGTTTCTAAAATTTGTTTAGCCTCCCAGTTTCACTGAACCTGGAACCTGGTTGCTAAAGGGAACAAATGCTTCATCCATGAGCATCCGTCTTCCTCCAGGTCCTGGGATCAAGGGTTGGCTCTGACAGCAGCCTCAGGTGTGGCCGAGAGGAACGCTACAGGGACGTGTTCACACAAAGAGCCTTCAAAACCACCCGGACCCAGCTGATGGAGGCAATTTCATTTAAGCGACAGGCACTCACCCACTCACCCTGTCAGTGGCCTTTGAGAAGAGGCACCATCAGCACACGCTCGCCATCTGCTGGGCAGGAAGGGGAAGTGCACTCAGACGGCTGTCCTGCTGGTGGTACCACTCGCCCTGGCACCGCTGGCTTCAGCCCCAACCTTCACTGTCCCTCTGCACCCACCGCTCCCTCTTAGCCCACTGGTCTGCAAGAAGATCCCTAATAGCACAGGAAAGAGGGGTGAAGCTACTGGGAGTGATGACAGACAGAATCTCCAAACATGCCGTCTGGAGCCCTGGCCCTGAATCAGCACATGGGTCAGCTGGGCATCCTGTTTGCTGAAAAGCAGGTTCTTAATGGGCGTGCCCGGAGTGGGACATGAGATTCTGCATTTCCAACAAGCTCCCAGTGATGCTGATGCAGCTGGCCCGTGGACCATCCTTGGAGCAGCCCGACTTGAGCCCATTGTTCAGTGTCCCTGAATTCCACATGCAAATCGCTGCATGGTGACTCAGCTCAGCTAGTTGATGATGATGATGATGATGATGATGATTATTGTTACTACTACTACTACTGCCAGGAAGCCTTTTATTCTGCTTCCGGTTGAAACAGAGAACAGATAAAAACAATGAAATATCTACCATGCAGCTAGCACTCAGTGTGTGCCAAGCCCAGGACTGAGCATTTTTATACATTTTCTCCTTCAATCTTCTTCCAATTGTTGCCTTTTATAAAGTAGGTATTGTTATGCCCATTTTATAGATGAGAAAGTTGAGGCCTGCGCAAGGGAAGTCAGCGATGCAAGGTCACACAGCAAGGGGCTGGCAAAGCTGAGATGCAAACTGAGATCTTCTGAGCTGGTACTGAACCTGTTCTGAGCCTGAAGTGAACCAAACCACTCACCACCCCCCATCAGAAGTCTCCGGGGACACCACCTGGGTCAGGCTCTTGTTTTTATGAGCTGCACCTCACCAACCTTCTCTGCAGGACCAGCCCTCCCACTCTGCCGTACCCTTATCCCGAGCTCGCTCGGCTGTAGTCCACCAGCTGGCAGAAGTAGCTGTAGTTGGCTAGGAGCGAGGTGGCTATGAATTAGGAGGAAGAGACCAGGAAAAGAGCAAGTCCTGAAGCCTGTCCCACCCCCACCGTGGTGGGGCCTGGCTGGCTGAAGGCTCGAGAGGCTGACGCCTCTTCCTGTCACATTCTGGACACTGACGTCCCCCAGCCCCACCAAACCCTCACCAACGCTTGGTGAGCAATTGCCCATCAGATAAACTCCACGGAGTGGCTGGATTGGGGGCTGGGACTTGCACATATCTTGCTGGGGTGGGCAAATGTGGACCCCAAACCCACACGGGGCACTTACTGTGTGTGAGACCCTAAGTCAGGAGGGGACCTGGAGCCCTACACCTACCAGCCCTGCCCTGGAGAAGCCGAGAGCCCCCTGAGGAGGCAGGAGACCACCCTCACTTCCAAGGATGGGGTCAGATGAAGAGTAGGAAACAGGAGCCGCTCCGAAATTCGGCAGTGGCCTGGGAATGAGGAGGCCATGGGTGACCGGAGGGGAGGGCGAGGGATTTCCGCGCTGGGAGGAGAGTGTCTGGACCTCTCCTAGCTCCCCGGGGCTGCCGGGGATCAGTGGGGTGCGGCGGAGGCACCTGCCAGGAGAGGGGCAGCCACAGGGGCAGAGAGAGGGCTCGGAATTGACTGACACGGGGTCCTGCAGGCTGTTTTAAGGAGCCTGAACTTTATCCCTTACTTATTCATTTGATAATGATGCATTGAATGGTGCTAAGTGCTTCTCCACACTGGGTCCTGCTCTGAGCCCCGAGCCACTTCAATAACAAAACAGATACACATCCCTGCCTGGAGGGACTCTGCATGCCGGTCGTTGGCAAAGGGAGACACTGAGGGCTTCTGAGCAGGAAGCCTACACGGGCACCACAGACTTTCAAAGGATCATGGTGGCTGCAGGGTCAGGTGTCACCATGAGTAAATGGCAAGCTCGGCGGGGGAGGGTACAGCTCAGTGGCGGGGTGCTTGCTTGGCGTGCACGAGGCCCTGCGCTCAAGCCCCAGGACCTCCATTAAACAATAATAATAAAAAACCGAATTACCTCCGCCCCCCAAAAATCCAAAACCAAAACAAAACAAGATAAAAAAGAAAAAGAAATGACAGTTCCTGCAGGGCATGTCTCATGCCTCACAAGTTGTCACGTCTTCCACGTGCTACCAGACACGAAGTGGAGCCTGTCTTTACAAAGAGAAGAAAGACACGGTCCTGCCTTTGAAGCACGTGCCAGTTTGGAGGGGAGCCAGACATGCGCATCGTGAAACAGGGGAGAGCCCAGAGTCGGGGTGCTACGTGCTTAACTGCCTTTCAGGTGGCGGCAGGGGGCGATTTGCCCATTCTTAGGGTGTAAAGCCTCCCACTATGGTTGATTTCAAAACAAGTCTGGGAGCTGGGGAGACACGGGCCGCATTTCTAGAACCCGCCAGCTGGTGGAGCCGGCGGAGCTGCCTATCTGGTCCCGGCTTGGGTACAGAGGCTGGAGGGACGGAGGTGAGCTCTTCAGGTCAGGGTGCCTGGCCACCTGCTAAGGTACTTACCTGCTCTGTGCCTCGTGACAGCTGTCAGGAGGATGGGATGAGCAGATCCTCGCGAAGGGCGCAGCGCACTGCCTCGCCGTGAGGACCGCTGTAAGTGTCAGACCACGTTCTCTGCAAAGCTTTCCCCGACACTGCAGCTGGGTCCCTGCCCCGTCCCAAGTACTTTCTGCCGCCCTGCTCGCATTGACACGCAGTTGCCTGTATCAGCATCCCCTCCGGACCGTGAGCACCTGGAGGACTGGTGTGCCTTCCACAGCGGGGACACTGCGGGTCCAGCACCGCCGGGCCCGAAGCGCACGCCCAGTGCGCGCTGGCTGACTGTTTGCTGAGAACAAGGCATCTGGAAGGATTAGTGGGTTCAGGGCTCAGAAAACAGGGCCGAGGTTACTGGAGCCCAGGTAGAAACAGGAGTGGGGGTGGTTCTTTCGGGTGTGAGGTGGAGAATGGATCCTGCTCTTGGCCTCTACACTTTCACTTAAGGGAAAGGAAAACGGGACTTAGTGGTGGGTATTTGTGTCTCCACAGGGAAGACGGGGCAGCCGAGGACGGCCCAGAACCCCGCCCCCGCGCCCGTCCTCACCCGGGCTGTCCTGCAGGGGAAGATCATGGTTTCATTCACCCCCTGGCGCCCCCCTAAAAGGAGACCCCAGGACTCTGCAGGCTCCCCCACTGGCCTTACCTCATAGAACACGTACCCCGAGAGGGTCACCAGGCCCAGGCTGTAGGCGGTAAGGGGTCCAGCCGGCCTCAGAGGCTCCCGCTGGGACATGAGGCAGGGACCCGCCACCACCCGGAGGAGGCAGAAGGCTAGGAGGAGGGTGACCGGCAGCGGCAAGTGCACCAGGATCCGGGACTCGGCCTCGGGTCTGGAAAAGCAAGGGGAAGGGGCAGCCGAGCCGGCCCCCAGGCCCACCTGCCACCGCCCGCCCCCGCCAGCTCCTCCGGCCCCATTGGTCGCCCTCTCCTCTCCCTCCAAATGTCTGGCGTTAGTCCAGCCCAATATACCTCTGAAAGGCCCATCAGGTGACAGCACCTCCTGCCTCCGCGCATTCCAAGGCCCACGGGTGTTTATTCCAGCGCTTCCCCAGGGCCCTGGCCATCGGGAGGGGGCACCTGGGAGTGAAAGCTGGGCTTGTGTCTCGTCCAGACCCCTCCCTCTGCCTCCCCTCCTCCCTGGCAGCATGAGCTGGGGGTCTGAGAACCCCCACCACTGGCTGGGGCCCGCACTGTCCTGCCTTGGACATTGGACGACCACCCACTGCCCTCCTCGGGGAAACTCCGTTGGCCATAAACTTGCCTCTATCCTTCCACCTTTGCGGCCCCTCTTGGGTGACATCTGCCCCCAGGACCCGGGAAAGGGGCGTGGCCACTGCGCACCACAAGCGGAAGGGGCGGGAAGTTCGGGGCTCTCTCTGCGGGTCCCGGCTTCTGCCCGTCTCTCCCAGCCCAGCCGCACCCAGTCCATCCAGAGCTTCACTCACCCCGTGGCTCCTCGGGGCTCCTCTGGTCGGTGCTCGCTGTGCTCTGACCCCCCGGGTGCTGAGGCTGCTGGTGGGGGGTCCCAGCGACAGGTCCTCGGGCTCCAGGGAGGGCAGCCCCACCCTCTAGACGGTCTCCTCTGTGGACGGTCCCAGCCCCAGCCCCGCACACACACTCACACTCACACACTTGCAGGGGCCAGGGACCTGGGCTGCATCTGCACCTGGCCGGGAACGGACACTCAGCTGTGCTCCGGCCTCTGTCCTGCTTTGTCCCCAGCTCTCAGCTCTGACTCAGTGCAGGGCGTGCAGGGGATGGGCTGCACCCCCAGGGCCTCCCCAGCCAAGCTGAGCTGAGACAGCTCATTGTCAGGGTGGCTCACAGGTGCCTTGGCAGGCCCCCCGCCCACCCCGCACACGCAGCAATGGGCCTCTGTGCGGCGCGGGCCCTGACAAACGAGGACAGCTGCATCACTCATCTCCCTAACAGGATTTGGCGGATTGTTGAGCAAGAGGCAGCGACAGTCACGCACATTCCAGGAACCAGTGGTCAGCTGGTTCTCAGCAGAGCTTCTGGGAGAAATCGGAGACAAAGGTTACCCCAGCCCTGGGCTCCCTCCCACCCCCAGAATGAGCGTGCTCTTCAGCCTGTGGCTTTACGGCTTGATGGACAGAGCTGCAGACCGAGCTCAGGCTTAGTCCTTGCACAGAGATTCCCGGGGAGGGGCTTCAACTTTCTCTCCTCCTTAGTAGAAGGAAGTTCCAGACCCCATCATGCCCCATTCTGCTCCCCACCCACCTCGTCTTCACAGGCCCGCCCTGCACAGACATCTTCCTCAAGCACCAATTGTGTCACGTTAGCAAAGTTATCAGGAAAGGGAACAAGTTACTTGTGTCTATGGGTTTCAAGTTCAGCTCACACTGGTACTAAGATCCTCCCAGAATGTGTCAACTGATGAATAGATAAATAAGATGTGGTCAATCCACACAGTGGATAAGAATGAATGAAGTATGTCCTCAAAACACTAAAAATAGAACAACCATATGATCCACACTCCTGGGACTATTAAAAACGCACTAATTCAAAAAGACATATGCATCCCAGTGGTCATAGCAGCATTAATTCCAATTGCCAAGACATGGAAGCAACTTCGGTGTCCATCAGCAAATCAACGGATAAAGAAGATGTGGTATATATGCAATGGAATACTACTCAGTCATAAAAAGAACAATATTTTGCCATTTGCAGCAATGTGGATGGACTTGGAGGGTGTTATGCTAAGTGAAATAAATCAGCCAGAGAAAGACAAACACCATATGATATCACTTATACCTGAAATCTAAAAATTAAAACAAAGTAGTGAATATAACAAAAAGGCAACTGATTCACAGATGTAATGAACAATGTAGTGGCTACCAGTGGGGAGAGGGGGGAGGCGAGGGTCAAGAGAGAGGTAGGGGGTTAAGAGTCACAAACTACTATGTATAAAATAAATAAGCTACAAGGAAATACAGTACAGCACAGTGAAAATATTCAGTGCTTTATAATGACTGTAAATGGAATATAACCTTTAAAAATTAAGAATCACTATGTTGTACACCTGAAACTTACATACTATTGTAGATCCGTGTTATTGATAAACTATTTCTCAATTTAAAAAATGATGAAGTACTAATTCAGCCTACAACACAGATGAACCCTGAAAACGCTGTGCTCAGTGAAAGAAAACATCACAAAAAGCCACATATTTTGTGACTTCCTTTATAGGAAATGACCAGAATAAGCAGATCTGGAGAGAAAGTAGATGAGTGGCTGCCAGGGGCTGGGGGACAGAAGAAGGAGGGGATTGAGAGGGACCCCTAGTGAGTGTGAGGTTTCTTTGGGGTGACGGAAATGTTTTGAACTGTTCTAGAAACAGGCAGTGATGGTGGTCGTATAAGTCTGAATATACTAAAAACTACCAAAGTGCACATTATTAAAAGGGTGATTTTTATAGGATGTGAATTTAAACATAAAACAAAAGTCTTCCCTGACCCTAAGCATGAGGTGGGATGCTCCTGGCCCCGGGGACTCTGTGCATGTGCATAACCCCGGGAACAAAACCAAACAGACCCCGTGGATGTTTGTGGGACATATTCCTACCCAAGGGTGCACGCTGGGAACACAAAGCAAACACTCTTTCTTCCTGACATTTCTCCTGTTAGGCGGGTAATCAAACCAGCTCAAAATTCTGAAAGACCATTTCTCCCCTGATCTGTTCGAATTTGCAGAGGAAGTTTCTGGGGCACCCCAGGGTGCCGCAAGGCGGAGAGGCAGACTTTCCCTCAGGAGCAAGACCTCTCATGTGTCCAGTGAGACGCTTGTTTAGTTATTTCCAGAACTCACTCCTTCCCTTTCAGATCCTGTCGTCCTAAAGGGTTGATCACTTGTCTAGAATTAAGACTTTCTCACGGGGAGAGTACAGCTCAAGTGGTAGAGTGCGTGCCTGGCATGCATGAGGCCCTGGGTTCTGTCCCCAGCACCTCCTCCAAATGCGACTAAATCAAGTAAAACTAATTACCTCCCCCTCGTAAAACAAACAACAGTGGAAAAAAAAAAGGTGACCACTTGCAATCCCTGATGAGTTACTGGATATGAGCAATGATTATCCAGGACTGCTAACATTAAAAAAGAAAAAAGAAGAGTGATGATTTCTCAGGCACAGACCCCTGTGCCCCGCTTGGCCCAGTTCACAAGGTTCTGTAAGTTCTATTTGAAGATTTCTGCAATGACCACTATTATTATTATTCTCAGGAGTGTCTCCTGAGAGAAGAAAGACAATATGAGGAGGGTAGAAATTGTTGCTTTGAGCTACAAGGAAGAGACATTTATTCACAAAAGAATAAACCCGACCCTGGTGACCCTTGTGGGCACGTATATGTAAGAGCACACGTGTGGGTTTGGAGACCTGGGCGGCGGGACCTGCCCGAACCTCCACCCCAGAGACCGAAACAGAAAGTCCAGCTAAGACTTGACAGCTGGGGATTATTGTTTGGAGCTTGAGTCTGGAGCCTGGTGACCTTGAACTCCGATGTGCTCCCTGTCGCAGGACCTCAGCGCCATCGCGTCTTCCTCCTGCAGTGCCGCCAGTCCCCCACGGATGACGGCTCGGGACGGAGGGAAAGGGGCTGCATGTTACGGTGTTTGGTGCGCACACAGCGCCTCCGCTGGCGTGGCTCCCGCTCAGAAGAACGAAGGAGGGACTGTGAGGGGAGGGGTGCTCAGCCAGGCTTAGGACCTGCTCTCGTGACCAAGAAACACCTGCAGACCTCTTCCCACCATTCCTGGCCACGCCAGACTACAGCCCGTGAGGGTCTCCCAGCTAGAAGTCGTTCCCCAGTAAGACGGCAGCAGCGAAGTGCGTCCTACCCCCGAATCTTGTGGGGACGCAGCCACACGGCTTCCGGAGGAACGTCTCCCACCAGTAGCAGGGCTGGAGGCTGGGCACTGCCACCCTGGTGCCCCCGCGGACACGCCTCTGGGAAGTCACGTCCTCACGCAGCTCGCTGCGATGCTGGCCCCCGACTGGCTACCAGACTTTCTTTGGCTGGTGCGCTGCAGTCAGCATCTTGTTAAGGACATGCACATTGGGGCCACGCCTCCTGTAGAGCGTCTAGGGTGCTAAGCTCCCATAAAGGAGGTCCAGGCACCTGCTGGAGACGCCTTGAAGAGAGAGAGGTCTGGCCATCGCCCCCATGCCCTCTCCGGGGCTGGTCCACCATCCCAGCAGAGGAGCCAGACGTGTATATGAAGCTACTCTGGGCGTTCCAGCCCCCTCAGAGCAGACATCACGTACAGCGGAAAAGCCGCGCAGTCCGCCCACAATGATAAGACATTGTTGTTCCCAGCCACTAGGATTTGGGATGGCCTGATACGCAGCCACAGACAACTGATGCACTACACGTGGGGCGGCTGAAAGAACTGTATCAAGTTAATTTTTACAAGTTTATTTCCCTCCTTTGATGATAAAGCCAAAAGTCTTCAACTGCTCCCTCTGAACTCCAGGTGGAAAGGCATTCCAGCCACCATGGCCACGGGCCACATCAGCGCTGAGGAGCCCAAGAGGACGCGTGCTCTGTCCATGCCTGGTCCACGGGCCCCTGGCATGGCGCTGGAAGGTGACAGGGCCCCTGGGGTTTCAGGGACGAGCCCCAGGTCACACGGTTTGGGAGGGGAGGAGCCAGGGCTCAGACTTGGTCCAACCAGCCATCTGTTCAGAGCCCCTTCTATTACATTGTGTCATTCAATTGTCGGGACCATTTCAAAAAAGAGCGGATCTGAGAGACGCTGGCATGAGTCGGTGCCTGGTGGGTGTCTTCTCATTTCTCGACTCCAAGGTGGAGGGAGGTGGGGAGGGTTGAGAAGACCCCCTCCATGCCTGACAAACAGCACACTCGCTGGAATGAAGACCGCGTGAGCGGGTGGACATTGCTGCTGCGGCCCTACTGCCCGGAGCCCCGCCTCGTCCCCACCCGCACCCTGTAGACACTCCCTAGATACTTGCAGGATGAATGAACAAATGAACCGGTGAGTGAAACCGCACATCTGGGGCCTGGAGTGTGTTCAGGGAATGGCCTCCACTTGTCGGCCTAGTTTGGGCTGCGGTGGGGCTGCCGAGGGTCCCGGTGACCACACACTGTCACCCGCAGTAACCTGAGGTCTGGCCGCAGACGGGCTCTCCGGGCCGCGGGCTGCGCATGCCTTTTCCTCTCTCGCCACTAGAGGGCAGGCGCGTGCCGTGGAGTCGGCCAAGCGGGTTGGCTCCGCTGGGATCAAAGGCACCTTGGGCTCCTGCGCTGAGCAGAGCAGCGAATGAAGCGCTGGGCCAGGATGCGTCTAACTCGGAGGTCACCCCCGAGGCAGGTGGAGAAAGGCGCAAAGCGCGCGTCCTATGACCTCTCTCTCGGTGGGAAGGTGGAACAGCTGCTGTCCTCCCGTCCTCTGCAGTGGGGGGGATCCCCAAACTCAAGACTCGGAGCCCCTGTATCCCCTGATCTGGGCATATGTGGGGAAACGGGTTTGGAGGCACCTTCCCGCACCCACTCCCCAAGCAAAGAAGGCAGATGTTCCAAGCGGGAAAACTGCTGATGGGAAAAAGCGGGTCTGAGGGGCTGACAGAGGAGGGGGATCTCGGAGGGTGGCGAAGGCTGTGCTTGGGGTAAAGACCAATCAGAGCCAGGGTGTCTGACTGCTTGTAAATATGCCTCATCCCAGCTGATCCTCAAGGCACTTCAGGAGGTGGGTATTATTGTTACAAGATGGCAGAAGAGGAGACTGAGGGTCAGAGTGGTTAGCCAGTCTGATCACTGTTCTCCATGTCTATCTCTTTGCCGCCACCCACATCTCCTAATCTCCACCGAAGTGGCCTTTCCACTGCCTTTCAAAAAGCCTAGATGAGAAAGACAAAGATGATGGGGGGACTCACATGACTTTGTAAAGGAGAAAATGTGTAATTTCATTTCAGATCCCAAATTCCGACCAACAGAAGCTGCATTTTCTCTCCGTGCCATGATGCTGCGATGACCCAGAACAGGGACTTGCCCGGCCGCCCGCCAGCTCTCTCCCTAAGACACACCTGAGCACAGGTAACACGCGTGACACCCGCGGCCAGGGGAGGCACCTGTTCTTCTTCCCAAAGAGATAGACAGAAGCAAAGGGCTTCCTGTGATTAAAGGATCATGGTCATTCAGTAAAAGTCCAAAAAGTTCATTACATGCTTCAGGAAGTTGTGGTCCGGGACATGAGACGCTTGTCTACAGTCACAAAATTAGTTCCCGTCCTAGGACTGGAACATGGCTTTCCAGACACTGTCCAGTGGAAATATTAAAATAGCTTATGTATGCTGTAACCCAGTGTTTTTTGAACTGCAGGTACAGACTTACAGAGAGTTGTAAAAGCAATTGGGTGGGCTACATAATTTTTAAAATAAAATTAGAACAGAAAGAAAGAAATAGGATAGAATAGAATAGAATGGAATTAGAAGGCAGCAAATTTTTATTTCCCCAAATATTTGTTTCAGATATTCACATATGTGTGTGTGCATTCACTGCATCATGGCACAAAATACTTTTTCTTACTCTGAGTGGGCATCAAGGAAAGTTTAAAGGTTACTGGTTTAGCCTAGAAGGAAAGTCTGAAATACTGGTTTCAGTCATGGTTCCAATGCT